AGTAGAAGATCTGCTCCAATCAACTAGCGATCTTCTCACCTTGAAATGGAGGATGGTTAGATTTAAGAACAGAAATATCCTGTTTATCAGCGGAAGCATATCTCCTTTCTTTAGCAAAATTGCAAATTGGAAATAATTGGGCAGTTGAAAACACAATGCAAATGATTGCTAATTAAAGGACACTTTGCTTCTGTGTTACTAGATTTTTTGTAATCTGCTTCAAGCTATGCTTAGTCATGTATGTCTTTTTTTGCCTTATGAGAATCTGGTAGGAAATAATCTTAATATATGTATTTTTTAATATACTTCACTGACTACTAAGGCACTTTATAGTTAAAATGGGTCCTCCATGAATTTTAATAGCAGTTGTCAGGACAGAACTTACACTCTTCTTTCAGAGCTCTTCGTTCCTGTGGTAACAATTCTTTGATGAAATTAAGAGGGTTATACTATCCTGAGCTTAATTTTGAAGGAAATTGAGACACCAAGAAACTACCAATTGTGTCCTAGCTAGTGGGAAATGTTCTGAGAGGAAAATCTTTGAGGAGTTAACCGAACATTGCTTAAGCATTGTTGGATAAACACAGAGAAAATTATTTGAGGTTAAAGACTCAAACATACTTGTCTGTATTAATAGAAATGTCAAGGGTTCAGCTACTTACGTGTGCCAATGTTATTTTGAGAATAATAAATAGAAAACCAGTTATTTTTGAGCATACAATATATGATTGTGTAAAACAGACTTACTTATGACCCATGTCACCTCTCTACCTGTGTTTTTAACTTGTCTTAAAAAAGACAAGTCATCAAGTTTAATGTAATATTCTAATGAGGATCAAAGTTATTGTAAGAGTGCAATCATATTTAACATATGTTGACATGTATGTAACTTCTATGTTGCACAAATATTTTATAAAGAAAGGGATTCTTATGACTTCAACTGAAAAACTCTGCTTATTGCTTTTCTTTGCATTATGCCCATGAAAATATTTAGAGGTTTAATGTCTTATGTTTTATGTTTGAATTTTTACAAAATATGTTGTAAAATGTTCTGTTAGAAAGAAATTATGGTTTTCTAGGAAAAGATGGAACCCAATATCTAAATAAGAGTACTAAATTTTATTACCATTATGTCCATTTGACTTATATCTTCACTAATAATTATTACTGGTGTCAATGTATAAATAACTTAAGAGAATAAAGGGGAGGTTTTGGGAGCTATGTTTTAGGATTGCTCTTTAAGGTCTAATTGAAGAAAAACTTCCCCTTTTTAGATTTTTTATATACTAATATACTATGAAATTATAAGTGCTCACTCTAAAAGTGATTTTAACTGGGATTTTCCTTTATGAACATGTTAAAGTATTGTATTTTATGTGATTGCAAATATAAGTAATGCTGCTTATTCAAATACACACGAGGTTTACATATTCTGAAAGAAACAACTTTCTGACTTAATTTAATTAGCACTAAACAGAATTTAAATATATATTTCTGAAAAATAAACAGCCTGGGGAGCATAAATTATCCAGCTACTATAAAACAAAGGGAAAAACTCCACAGCTGGTGAAAGAAATTAAAGCAATAAGAAATAAGAAATAACTACATCTCATAATTTTTATCACCTGGACCCTAAAGATGGTGCTGAAATTCTGCCATCTTTTCTGGGGAGTTCATACTTACTCAAGCAAGGATAGCAGAGGCCAGCTGACCATCTTTGAGGTTTTGAGCAAGCTCAATTTATTTTTTTGTATTTCTAGATGACAACAACCTATAGTTATATGTAATTATAGAAAGTAAACATCTGAGGTTAATTGATACTAATGGGGTTTGCTAGCAGGTTGGAATGCTTGCACAGCATATATTGAAAGCTTGATTCTAGTTTATTTCTGCTAACCACCTTGCATGCATTTCTGATTTTCTGTTCACTTGGTTTAGATCAGTGGTTCTCAAAATGTAATGAGCACCAGAATGATGTGAAGAGCTAATGGTATATTGCTAAGCCACTGGAAGAGCTTTTGATTAAGTAGGTGTGAGATGGGGCCTGAAAATCTGCATTTATAACAACTGTGGACTATGCTAATAAGTTTGGCCTAAAACTGGATTTGGAGATCCACTGGTGTAGATGAAATGCATGTGATTTTGACATAAGAAGATCAAAAAGAGTTTAACACAGTGTTTGTTACATGAATGTGTTTTCATAGGAATTATGTTTTTCCCAATGTTTCTAAAACTGGATTTGGGGGTTCCAAATTTTGTCAATGGTGAATAAAAACAGTTTCAGTAAGGTCAAGATGGTGGAATAGGGAGAACTAGTGCTTACCTTCTTTTACAATCAACAAATGCTCGCCTAAATTTGGGCTCAAATAAATAGAAACAGACCTGAAACCCACACAATAGAGCTTCCATAAAAAAGGATAAAAAGGCAGCATCCAGAGGGACAGGGGAGACTGTTAGCCAAGGAAGAAACCGCATGCGGGTGGGGGACAAGGAAGCACAACAGGGAAAATATCACTCTTCCAGAAGGGGGATCTTACACGCAGTACCCCAACCCCATGATCCAGCATTGCTGAGCCATGATGTGGATGCCCCTCCATTGAGGGGCCAGAGGGAAGTGAGAAGAGAAAGCCAAGGAAAAAAAGCACAGGCTAACAACCAGCCCTTACTAGGTTTTGTGAGCATATGCATTTGCCCTGGGACCTAAAGCAAGAATAAATGCTGGTTGGAACAATATGGCTCCACAGCAGAAGGAATCCCAGATCCCATCCTTAAAGCGTGAGCTAGAGGGTACAAGAACACTGGCTAATAATCTGGGGTGAATCCTGAGAAATTTGTATACTTTTAAAGATCATTACTTTAAGGATTGTACTTTTATTATTTGGTCTCTTAATTTAACTTTTAAAATTAGTTTTTGTTGAAGTAACATTGGTTGATAACACTGCGTAAGTTTTGACATTTGCGTATGCTATGGTATGACCGCCACCGACAGCAGCCACCGCACAGCTGAGCCCTCTGCCTCACTTCCTGCTCCTCCCCACCCCATTCCTTTCTGGTAACCCCCATTTGTTATCAAAAACTAAGAGTTTGTTTTGTTTTGATCTCTTTACATTTAGCATGAAAGCTACTTTTGATGGTCAAATTGTATCTGTTATTTATGAGGCACTTAGAATTGTTATGCAGGTCTTCATCCTCCAAAAAAAGTACCGTATTTCCCCATGAGTGAGAAGCTCATTATTTTGCTTTATTAGCCAAAACTCATTTTTCTAGTGAACCAGAGCGAGGTAATTCAAGTTCCTTTATAAATTTGAGATTTTGAGGCTTCAGAAATTTGAACAAAATCCTAACAGCAAAGTTTTCTCAGATGTTTTAATTCATCAGAAGTCCTACTTGTTGACTTTATAAAGTCATCAATTGTGGTTATTGATTAAATAATAGGTAAGCTGGACTTACATATTTTCTTTTTGTTTTTTTAGGTCTCATTTTTCCTCCATAACCTTAAAACAAGAGATAAGAAATTGCAAGAGTTGTATGTCTGCTTTTTTCTAATCTTTTGTTTAATCTTCCCAAATTATTTTAGGTATCGGTACAACATTTATTTATTTATTTATTTATTTATTTATTTATTTATTTATTTATTTATTTATTTTAAAAATTTATTTTTATTTATACAAGAACCAGGGCACAGGCCAGATGCGTGGGAGGGTGAGAGGATTCACCACAGACAGAGTAGGGAACAGAGCAGGCAGACCAACAAAATACACTGAGGGGAGCAGTGGGCAAGACAGGAGAGGTCTGCTCACCATGTGGGTTGCTCCGAGGCCGGCGGGGATTGAACTGGCACTGCAGAGGCTGCGGACAGCTTCACAGCTTCACAACCGCCTGTGCACCAGGGAGGTCCAGTACAACTTTTAAACTCTTACAAAATGAGGAAACTGAGGCAGAGATGTCAGAAACATCCTCAAGTTCACACTGTTGGTGGTTACTGTACCCAGGTTCAAGCAGATAGTCTGGCTGCAGATGCCCATAGTCTGTGTCTGTCCACTGCTGCCTCCAGGGCACTTGCATTGTGGTTTGTACCATCACTACTTCCCTCCTGAAACCTTACTGTGATACAATTACTTTGAAAAGAATAGGTACTTTGGTGAAATAAACGTGAGATTTCCGCACATATTAAAAAAACTAGCAACAACAAATGTTGGCAAGGTTGTGGAGAAAAAGGAACTCTCCTGCACTGTTGGTGGGAGTGCAAACTGGTCCAACCACTATGGAGAGCTGTGTGGAGATTTCTAGACCTACTAAACATAGAGCTTCCATATGATGCAGCAGTTCCACTCCCAGGTATTTACCCAAAGGACACAGAAACATCAATTCCAAAGAGCACCTGCACCCCTATGTTCATAGCAACACTATTTACAATAGCTAAGCTTTGGCAACAACCCAAATGCCCCAAAATAGATGACTGGATCAAGAAGATGTGGTACATATACACCATGGAATATTACTCAGCATTCAAAAAAGATAAACACATGCAATTTGGAGCAACATGGATGGCGCTGGAAGGGATCATGCTCAGCGAAATAAGCCAGAAAGAATAAGTTAAATCCCGGATGGTCTCACTCATAGCAGGAATCTAGAAAACTTAAATAAGGGACCAGGAAAAAGAATAACTATAAGAAAGAAAATATCAAAATCGACAAACAACTATGAACCAGAGACAATCTATGGGAGGTGGGGGTCGGGGAAATGAGGGGTTGGGGTCAAAATAAGGGGGTTGTAATTGTATGGGGAATATAAAAATAAAATTTAAATAAATTAAAAAAATAAAACAAACAACAAAAAAAGAATGCAAAATAATTAAAAAAAATAAATGTAAGATTTCCTTGTGATAATGTATTTTGTATTTCAACCTAGTTTTCTCTTTGCCCCTTTCTCTTTTTGTTCCAGGGACTTTACCCTTTGGCCCTGGTTCCAGCCGCGACTACTACGGGTGCTTCACTCACCACAGTTATCCTCGTCGGCCTGATTCCCACAGTCGTCCACACCATTACAGTGAAGAAGCTGAGGTAAGCACTTGGTGATATTCCCACACGGGAAATAGCCAAGCGAGCATTTGACATCCTGTGCGCTCCCATAAGCAACTGTGATGAAGAAAGGGGAGAGAAGGTGAATACAAAGCATTACAAAAAAGTGGCTTTCTCCTCAGTATACTATGAACATTTAGTCTTCCCGTCTTGGCTAGTACAGCCCTCCATATGGCAGCTTCACCTTGCTTACTAGCCTGCTCTCAACTATTTTCCAAGAACCCCCATCCTGGCAGAATTTTCTTCCTGTGTCTGCAGATGATGCCAGGATTCTCTTTGCTTCTGTTCATGCTGTTTCCCACATGAAAGGTCCTTCACACGCCTCTTTTTCTATGAAATATCTGCCTGTTTGGCACAGTTTAGCTTAATTCTCTTCTCCTTGAAAACATTTTTAGGCAATACTTTAAAAAATCTTGAATTTGTTGCATTCTTAATCTTGGCTCAGAATCACTGGTCTGGTACTAGTGGAGGGAAAAAAACATACAGGATACAGGAAAGCAGGTGCCACATGCTCTCTGCATATTAGACAGCTCTTGAGTGTGAGAACCCTTGCTAGATTTTATACATACAGCATTGACTGAAACAGATTCATGTCCTTTTCAGACTGACTGCTCTGACTTAGTAGTGACATACATATAAGTTCTCTCCATGTATTTCCATGACTTAATTCCTTATTTCTCTTTAGAGGTGAATGATATTTCACAGTGTAGATGTGCCACAACTTACTATCCATGCACCCACTGAAGAACACCTTGGTTGTATGCAAGTTTTGCATTATGAAAAAAGCTGCTATAAACAACTGTGTGCTGTTTCTTTGTGCATATGTTAGTGGTGCTTTTTTAAAACCTCCGATTTATGTAACTTCAAGGTGATTTTAGACTCTAAGTATAATTCTGTTGCTTGTAATCCTTACCAAATTTGTAAATCTTGGGAACTTTTTGGAATAATTGTAAATTATCAAGAAATAAAAACAAATATTTTGAATAGTCAATGACTTATGTAAAAATGTAGTCTATAATCAAAACATGAAAAGAACACAAGTGACTAATCCATCTGTGTAGATTTTGACTGTATTTAGTTGTTTCAGAGCACATAATTTGATGAAGGAAAGACATAATTAGTTACTATTGTTCTAATGTAAAATCTATATAATAAGAAGCTGTGTTGTACTTGTGGAATTATTTGAAAATTATTTATCAATCTTTTTTGAACAAAGTGATTAAAACAAACTCAAAACAAAGGACTTGTATACAGCACATCACATATTCAGAGACCTCAGATGTACATATAAATAAATTGATCTATGTTGAGTCTGGATTTTCATATCTTTATTAATTTTTAAGGACAATCTTGAAAAACAAAGGTTTCAGAAAAATTCTTTGATCTGTTGTCAGCCTTCAGCTATAGTTACCGTTTGAAGATATTTTAACCAGATATCACTACTGTTTTGAAAATTGTCCTCTGAGTAACTTTTATGAATATTATGCTTTCATGTTCTGCTTTTTAATTTATAGAGGCTGATATAAATCTTTGATGATCGTTTCATGAAATTTGTCCTATACTTTCATAGCATTATGATTTGACAGATATATTTGAAATCTTAAAAAGTGATATATTTTAAATTTTTGAGATAATCTCAATCTTAAAGTTGTAAACACATTGTAAACAATGTTTGCCTCACACTGAAACATTTGAGAGTAAGTTCCTTACCTGATGGTCCATCATCCCTAAAAACGTTGATGTTTTTCATATAAATAAGGACATTCTCCTACATAATTTTACTAGAACCAACAAAATCAGAAAACAACATTGATACCTTACTGCCATTTAAGATTCAGAATCCATTCATCTTTCTCTTATTACTTTCCCCCAAATGTCCTTCCTAGTAAAAGGATCTAGTTCACAATCCTTGCATTCAATTGTCACATTTCATTAATTTCCTTTGTTCTGGAACAATTTTTCTGTCTTTTCTTGACTTTTCTGACCTTGAGGCTTTTAAAAATTGTGGTTAATTATTCTGTAATTACTGAGTTTGGGTGTTCTGATATTTCATCATAAACAGATTTAGGTGATGCTCTTTTGACAAGAATTTCACAGAAATGATGTTCATTTCTGGCTCTCACATTGTACAGGGTTTGTTTTGTCCCATAACTGACCACTCTGGTCACTTGATTAAGTGCTCTCTCCCAAACCTCTCCACTATAACACAGACTTTGTAATTAATAAGTATTTTGTTCTTATTCAGTGTTGCTTTGAAATTGTATAAAAATCCCTTCATTTATCAAAATTTTAATTTTTTCATTTGTTTATATTAGATGGACTCATAGTTTCCAACTTTTCTCAATGGGTTAAACTGATAGTCTGTTAACTATCAATTTATTTTGATATTTCTATGGTCTAAGATTTATTTGATCAATGGGAACTTCTTCAATCTAACTCTGATGTTCTTCAATCTAACTCTGATGTTCTTTTTATATTTACCTAGCCTCAGGTATGAATTTCCTATACACACCTTCAGAGTTGATAGGGTTATTGTTCTCCGTTGGGTTGCTTAGATCAAGAGGGAATACAAACATCATAGAACTATCAAATATTTCCCTGACACTCATTATCTGGAAGCCTTAAGGGAAATGTGTTGGAAGTAAAAACACGGTGTAGGATGTGGAGAGGTTGTTGGGACTGATAAATGCAGACAGATCCTTTGTGTGGTATCCTCATTGTAGAAGGATGGTCTCTGGCACATGTAAATTACCTGGATTAGCTACATACACACAACTGAAGGAGTGAAAACCAGAGAAGAGCTTTACCTCCACCTACTTCCCACAGACATTACTTTAGCTTTCCTGAAAATGGGAGCAGAGCTTGTCTTTACACTTGCGGAAAGAAGTCCTTAATGGCTAAAATAACTTGTATTCATTTTGTAACTTGGCTTTGCATTAATGTACATTCATAGTACTGAGGTTTCTCTGACTTGATGGTAAATGGTTTAATATTACTTGTTAAGTTTATTGCCATTAACATATCATTGCAACAAACAGAAGTACATTATTACAGAATTTTGCAAGATCATTAATTTGCCATTGGAAAGACAACTGTCTATGTTGCCATGAGTAGATTCTTGCTTTGTCAGTTTGTAAGATATAGTCTTATACTTCATATAAAAGTAGAAAAAAAGTAGTCCCTCAAATCATGAGACTAGATTCATAAGCTACTTGTTTTAATATTAAATACATAATTGCTATCTGAGATTATTTTAAAAGCATGTCTATTCTTAGTGTAGCCCAAAACTAAAACTCCACACTGGGGAGGAAAGGGGGTTAGCCTTCATTGGCACCTTCCTGGATACCTGACCTCAGGCAGATTTTCTGTGCTTAGATTTCTTCATCTGGAAAATGAGTGGTTATATTAGTTAAATGTTTTTAAACATGGCTTAACAGAATTAGGGTTTTGGGAAGTTGCATCAAAGGTTTTATAAGTAAAATCTTAGTAGAATTTTATATTGAAACAAGATTTTAATATAAAAGTAAAAGCACACATCACATATGAAAATTTTAGCACAGTGCAAATTGCCAGCTTATTTGTTAACTTATGCAACTAGGATATGAGTTGCTACTTACTACTTATATAAGTGCACCTTGCTTAGTGGTACTTGAAATTAAATTTGTGTGATTGTAGTTTTTGTGATTATAGTGTTTTTCTCATCTCACACAAAAATATTCATAAGTTAAGAAATTTGTCAATCATTTAAAAAAACACCCTTACAGAAAAACTATTTCAAAGCATTAGAACTCAAATAAATACTATAGTCAGAATGTGAAGCAACTTGGAAAAATGCTTACTACTTTTAATAGCAACAGCAGAAGCATTTGATAAAACTTTTAAATATCTTTCTTCTTCTGGAAATCCTTTGAGATTAGGTGGATGGAAAAACAGAGGAATAGTCATGTTTGTTGATTGCCAAGTGAGACACAAGGAATAAGTGACTATCAGTGGCTTGCTATTTTCTGTCAGTGAATGAATTATTGGCACTCCCATATGACTAAAAATCTATGTATCTTGTACATATTTCATGAGGAGGAAAAAACAGTCCAGACTTTTTGCAACTATTATAGGTTTTTGCTTGACATAACTGGGTCCCAACGTAATCAGAGAGTTAAAAATCAGAGAGCCATAATGCAGCCTAAATAATGTGGGTTTAAGGAAACTGTTTCCATACATCAAGGTATTACTCTATGATTGGCTATCATTTTGGGGAGAGATGTGATTTGACATGGGTTACATATAAATCATGATTCCCTTTCTCAGAACTAAATTCTTAAGGATTTCAATAAACATTTTTTTAGACGTGAAGTTCCTATTGATTTATCATGAAAGCATTGAAACTTAGTTTTAACTTTTGATAAACCTAGGCAGGAATGCACAAGTGCTTACAGTTGTGTCTAGGGAACTGATAAAATCACCAGCTTAGTGAAATTATAAGCTTCATTTTTTAACAGCACTCAGTTTTAACATGGAAAATCTTTAACATGGTTGCTCTGAAATCAATGCAGCTCTTTCCCAGGGATTCTAGATAACAGTATCCTGCATTCGATGTTTATAAGATAACCTTCTAGAGAGGATCTGCATCGTAGCAGTTTATTAACCTTAGAATACATAAAGGTTGGAATTCATCTCAGTGATCTGTAATTCCGAAATCAATATACTTAAAATATATTTTGAACTCCGCAATGCTTGATTTAGATCTATTCTGAAAAATACAATATACATATTGACTATAGAATATGCCATTTAAAAAATGCTAAACAAATGTACAAATTAAACATGCAGTAAAACAGAAGCAGTAAACTTCTTTTGGGACATATTCAAAGTGTTGACAGAAAAGAACACTTTACTGGGCAAGTCTGTCATTCAGAACTGAAGGAGAAATCCAGAGCTTTCTAGACAGATATGACTGGGTCAGGCGACCACGAACTAAATGATGGTGATACGGTTTTCGGTGAGAAGGACCAGCAATGGAAATAAAGAACAAAAGCACATGTCCTGCCCCCAGAAAGTCG